CGGGGGGCCGGGGGCAGCCCCGGGGACAGCCGGCTCTGCCCCCAGCCCCTCTGCATGACATGTTCCCTGCTTGCCCCCCCCAGCACTTGCCAGCCATCATCGGCCGGTACGTGCCTTTTGCGGCCGTGGCTGCTGCCAACTGCATCAACATCCCGCTGATGAGGCAGAGGTGAGCCCCTGGGCCGGGACGGGGTGCTCAGGCTCATGTTAGGGTTCGCCAGGCACTGGTGGGGGATGCGGGGAGCAGTGCCCTGGGCTTGCAGGGGACTTCCTGGCCCTGCTGGCATCCCTGGGGGTTGGTTTGAGGGTACAAGCACCCAGTTGCATCGCAAGGGGTTATCGGTTAAGCCGGCTGTGAACTCCCCATCCCCATCCAGCCTTGTTGAGGACCCCCCAAATGTGAGTGTGGTCCAGCTGAGACCCCCCCAACTTCTTGCGCAGGCAGAGGATGGGGAATACAGGAGGATGCCAACCTCCCTTGGAGACGTGCCCCTGTGCTGTGTCCCTGCCCTGTCCCTTGATTCCCCCCCACCTGCATGCCCTGGGGCCCCCCTCACCCGCACTCTCCCTGCAGAGAGCTCAAGCTGGGGATCCCCATCACGGATGAGAACGGGAACCGCCTGGGCGAGTCCACAGCCGCAGCCCAGAAGGCCATTTTCCAGGTGGTGGTGTCCCGCATTGGCATGGCAGCCCCAGCCATGGGTGAGTGTCCCCTCCTCCACCCATGTCTGGGGTCTGCAGCCGGTCCCTGGCAGCATGGGACAGGGTCCCACGGCTGGCAGGGGACTGTGAGCACTGGGACCTCATCTCCTTTCCCTCTGCCCCAGCCATCCCTCCGGTGATCATGAACGCGCTGGAGAAGAGAGCTTTCCTGAAGGTAGTGGTGGTCCTGGGATGGGAAGGTGGGCAGGGGGACACCTCTTGTCACAGTGCTGGCACCCCTCAGGGCTGGCATCCCATCGGGGAACAGACACCTTCCCACCCCGTCCGCCCCACTGACGCACAGCCTCTCCCTGTCCCCGGCAGCGGTACCCGTACCTGAATGCTCCCCTGCAGGTTGGCCTGGTGGGACTCTGGTAAGTCACCCTCCACCAGGCATTGCTGCCCTGGGCGCAGACTGGGCCTGGGTATGGGGGGCAGTGCTGCTGGGGGGTCTGCTTGGCAAGGAAGGCAAGAGCCACCTCAGAGCTCCTTGGGGGGATGCTGGAGCTTGGCCAGGCTGGTGCCCCCCAGGCAGATGGGATGGGATATGAGGTCCTGGGGCTGGGAGCTGTTTTTCTCCATCTTGATGTCTCTCAAGCCTGCCATGGGCTCCTGCTCAGCATTGCTGTTCCCCCACACTGATGGAGACAGGCTTTGCCCCACTTCAGGAGCCGAATGCAGCATCTGGAGCTTGGAGAGGGCATCTCCTTACCCCTTTCCTGGCTGAGCACCCGGCACAGCTCTGGGCTGCCTCCTTGCTGCTCCGGGATCAGGCCACGGGTGGGAGCAGGTGATTTATGCAGCCCAGCTTCTCCTCTCTGTGTCTTTCCCTTGCAGCTTGGTGTTCGCAACCCCACTGTGCTGCGCGCTCTTCCCACAGAAAAGGTAAGGACGGGCACCTTGCTTGTGTGTGTGGCTCCCGTGGGGCAGGGCATGGGGTGCAGGCGGGGGGTGCGTGGGCTCCTTGTGCTCTCTGACTCCCGAGAGATGCTTTTGCTCCTTTGAGCTGCCGGAGGCTTGAAACTGTGTGCGCACACGCGTCCCTGTGCATGCGCAGCGGTGCAGACCCAAAGGTCTGCGCTGGGCCATGGGGACAATGTCCCATGGGGTGCAGGTGGGGAAGGGGTGGCAGCAGGTGGTTTCCCAACCTGAGGCCACCAGTGGGTATCCCCCCCCTCCATCCTCTGTATCTGTGTCCCCTTGGCAGCTCAATGCCCGTGAGCCGCCTGGAGCCTGAAGTCCAAGCTCGGATCCGGGAGAAAGACCCACAGCTGGAGACCGTCTACTTCAACAAAGGGCTCTGAACGGGGGGCCTG